AAAGAGGGTGAATTGAGAAAAGGCCATTAGAGCTGACAATTAAGAAATCACCGGTAACTTTGTACAAAACAGTTTCAGTTGAATGATGAGGTCAGAAGTCTGAGTACAAAGTTAAGAGGAAGAGAAGTAGAGGCTTTGAAAATAGATGGCCTTTTCAAAGAGGTTAGCCACACAAGGGAAGAAAACTATAGGATTTGACTTCAGTTGAGGTCAAATCCTCTTGCTTAGACTATTGCAAGAGTCTCCTAATTGATTTTCCGGCTGCTAGTCCTCCCTTCTCTGATAATTATAAAAACAATATGCTAACATAGCAAAGCACACGACATATACTCTCACATTTGATTCTCAAAAATAATCCTGAATTAGGTGCTATTATTTCCATTTCATAGATGAGGAAACTGAGGCTAAAAAGGGTTAAATGACTTGCCCAGAGTACCTTCCAGATATGCAACGTCACCAAACCATCTTCCACTCACCTCCTTCTTATATTCCTAAAGCGCAAATCTGAGCAAGCTATCAAAAATCTGCTGCAAGTTAAAGTATAAGCTCCTCTGTTAGGAATTTAAATCCTTTCACCACCTGACTCCAGCCTAGCTTTTCAGGCCTTATTACAGAGTACTTCCCTTCTCGGAACTCTACTTGCCAGTCAAATAGCTCTCTCGCTGTTCCTCATACATGCCATTTCATTTCCTGTCTACAGGCCTCTGAGCAGAGCACTACACTACTCTTTATTTATGCTTCTTTGAATTGGTAGTTTCCTTCAAAGCTCAGCTCAAGAGCCAGCCTCTACATAAGACCTTTCCCAACTGTTAGCACCCCCTATCCCTGAAATTATTTTGTATACATTTTGTATTTGCTTAGATGTGTACACATGTGTATCTCTCCCAAGCATAAAGTAAGCTCCTCATTTTGTTTGTCTTGTATCCCTAATGCAGGGTACAGTGCTTAGCAATAGTACTTATTAAATGCTAATATTTTGGTTTTATTTCCAATACATTCCTGATAATTACTGAACACTTAAAAACCTGAGGTAAGGAAAGAAAATAGTCCAACATGATGACTTTTTCTTCTAAAACTACAGGGGAGAGTGGAAAGAACTATGGACTGACCAAGATTCTAATCCCAAATTATGTCTGTCCTAATTATCTTCTGTATCCAAACACCTTAAAGACATCATAAATATTTGAGCTAGAAGGGACCCTACACATCATTCAGTCCAAATCCTTCATTTTACAGCTTCTAAACTAAATCAAAATAAATCCACCAGCAGTCAAAGATTGATAGCAAATTGAGAATTTAAAACCAGGTCCAGACTCTAAATACAAGCCTTTTCCCATTACACCACACATCTGCCAACAGCTATATGACCTGTGAACTTCAGATGCCTCTTTTATAAAAGGAGAGATGCTGCTACTACCTGAATCCATGGGTTGCTGTTAAGATTGAAAACTGAATAATGTATCTCAAGAGCTTTGTAACCATAAAGTCCATGTTGTCCTCTCTTGCTCTAACAATTATTATAATTGCTCCACATCTATAAAACAGAACCCTGGAATTCTTCTCTTTAACTACAATCTCTTATCCTTCAATATCTCCTTCTGCCTCATCTCTCCTAAACCTAAGTTTCAACCTCAGTGTCACCTCCAGTTCTTCCACCCCCTCCCTTCTCCATCATTCCTATTCTGGCTTCCCTTCTTTCCCCCTTCCTAGTCTTGACCCTATCATCCTCACTACCACACACTTCACCCTCCTTATATTGGCCCCTGCTCTACCACATATATAAGCATGCACAGATCTCCAACTTGATCTTGCTAGTCCATCAAGGTACTGTGCTATATTGCTTCTCCCTTTCCCAGCCAAACTTCTATAAAGGATTGTCTGGACTCTCTGACTTCACACACACATCCTCTCCTCTACTCCCCTCCAATGTTGCCAAAAAATCTCAATTGCTAAATCTAAAGCCCTTTTCTCAGTTGTCCCCTTTCTCAAACACCCCCTCCTCTTGGGCACTCTCTTGATCTTTACTAGTCTGCTTATTACCAGCCTCAGTGCTGCTCAGCCTCCTTTCCTAGACTGGTATCCCACTGCCATTAAGTATGGGCTCTGTATTGGGTTTTCCTCTCTTCCCTCTACATTCTTTCTTTTGGTGATCTCATCAGGTCACATTTAGTTTTTGTTCAATACTCATCTCTATGTAAAAGATTCTCAGATGTATATACCAGTCTTAAATCTCTCTCTCTCTCTCTTGAACTCTAAATCCTGTATTACCAAGTGCCTGCTAGACATCTCCACCTTTAAGTGCCACACGTGTTGCAAACTCAATAAATCTAAAATGGAATTAATTTTCCCCCAAAACCTATCTCTACTTCAAACTTCCCCATTTTTGTCTATGGCAAGACCAATCCTTCCAGCCACCCAGTTTCAAAACCTTGGAGTCATTCTGGGCTTTTCCACCTCCTTGAACTCTCAGTCAATTAAATACCAAATTTTATTTGATACTATCTCCATGTAGTTTAACCATATCTCCACCCCTCCATTCACACTGCCCCCACCCTAATTCAGACCCTTATCACCCCTCATCTGGATCATAGCAGTAGACTCCTAATTGGTCTCCCTGGTTCCTTATCCCTCTCCAGACAACCCTCCACAAAACCATCAAATTGATATTCCTAAAACACAAATCTGACCATGTTAAGCCCTCTGCTAAAAAAACTTCAAAGGCTCCCTATTACCTCTAAGATTAAAAATGTTAAATCCTCTGCCTAGCATTTAAAGACCTCCACAACCTAGCTCTCACCTAATTTTTCACTTCTATTTCATTTTATTTCCCTTCACAAATTCTGTTCCAGTCAAAACTGGCCAGCTAGTGACATGACATTCTATCTAATACCTCTATACCTTTTCACAAGTAATCCCTCATGTCTTGAATGTACTCCCCTTTCACCTATACCTCAGAGTCCCTGGCTTCCTTTAAAGCTCAGTTTAGGTGCTATCTCCTACACAAAGACTTGACTGATCTCCTTCCCTCCTTTTTAAAATGCACTCTATTCTTGAAGCTACTTTGTATTTATTTGCCTGCATATAGTATCCCTTCAGAACACAACCTCTTTTAGGGTAGGGCATTTCAGTTTTTCTATTTGTATTCCTGGCATCTAGTACACTGCTTTCCTTGTAGATAGTGGGTGCTTTAAAAATGTTTTGTCAAATTGAGTAAAATACTAAATACAGATACATGAAAGCTGAAATTAATATGGTTGGCACCTTCAGAGAACTGATGATGATTCACAGTTCCCTTGCCCGGGCTGCAAATTTTAGCTCTAAATCCAACATCGATAAGCATAATTCTTATTATTTTCCCCTAGACTTATTACTCTGCCCTTCTCAAGCTCATGTGCTACTTTTCTGCCCACTCACACAGCTGTATGAGATAATTCTGTTGTGGTCCCATAAACTATGCATCATTTCTCTAACGGGAAGAGCTTAGTATCATCTACATATATGGAGATTTCATATTTCCACCTCTACCCTCCAAGATCATTTATAAAATGTCAAATTTGCTCCCAGAACTGATCCAGAGATCATAACATTTCTTCACTCAGATAAGCGTTCCTTTATCCTATTGTCTTCTGTTTTTTAAGACAGTTTGCAGTTCATAACAAACATCTACCCACTCCAATTCCATAACTCAATTTTGTTTTGTTTAGGAACCACTGGAATTACATAAACGGGTTCTCTTTTGCCCACATACTCCCTCAAATAACTCTTAACAGATTAGTGATTCAAAAGTTTACTATATATAATATATATATATACACACACATACATATACATATATATATACATACACATACACACACACTATCCTTCCCCTAGCAAGTTAATACTTTTCCTATAATTCACTATTATTGGAGAATTAGATGTTTGAAGGAACCATGGGTTCAATTTGAAACTGTATCTTAAATTACATAGAACATTAGAGGTCATCTAGTCCAAACTGAATAATGAATTCTTTCTACATCATTCCTGACAAAAGCAATGAGATGAACACTTCCAGTGACAGGGAATTCAATATCTCTCAAGAAACAGTCTATTTCTGTTTCAGAAAGCTCCAATTATTATTCTTCCTTATGCTGAAGTTAAATCTGTCTTCCTGTAATTTCTAACCATTGGCTGATTACTTTTTTAGGACTGTATTAGTCTAACGTGTCTATATTGCAGACCACAATCCTTCAAAAACAAGGCAACACAAAACATATTCAAGGAACAAGAGATTGTCCCCTTATCCATGATAACCCCAGTTCAATGGCTCATTAATAGGTATGTATAAATATTGGCCTAAGGACTACATTAAAAAATGGACCCAGTATTTTCCTGATTCAGTGGCACCTGCAAACAGTCAAATCTCTAAGATCATGGTAAGTCAAAAAATTTCCCACCAGATGCAACCTCTGGTTATGGTCATATTTGTGACCTATGGTTCTCGCCAATAATTCTGCAAGATAAGGTGATCCCCCCGTCAGTCCCACAAGTATTTTCCAGAAATAGGACACAAGGTCACCCACGCGCTGCAGTACAAGGCGATGCACAGCTAGGACGCCCCCTATGGGGACAAAGGAGGACTGGGCGGGCGTGGGCTGGCTGCCCCGAGCCTCCGTCGGGGAGGGATGGTCTCTCGGGGACACGTTCTGTTGTCAACGTTAGATGAAGCCCAGAAAAATAGGCCTAGAGAGGCAGCTCCTGCCTCCTAGTCCTCCCTGACCGCGCTGGGAAGCGGGCTCCTGGGGCACCTCCGCGGCTGACCCAAGTTAAAGGCCGCCCGCCTGCGGCCGGCGTTCTCCCAGCGCCCCTGGCGGCGGTCACCCCCAGGAGCAAAGCAAGGCCGCGACGTCCTTGCCGGGCTTGCAGGCCCGCCTAGTGCGCGGGAGGCTGCAGCGCCCAAACTGAAGAGAGGGTAGAGGACGGGCGGCGGCTGTGCAAGAATCCATCCCGAGCCTCCTTACCCAGTGGGCGATGAGACCGGCGGCCCCCGCCCGGAGTGACGAGGAGAGGAACATGGCGGCTCAGATTCTTCGGCTTCCCCCAGCTGAGTCCGAAATCCGCAGGCACGAGCCCGGAACGCACAGCGTGCGCGCTCTCGACACCTATCCCCGACCACCGAACGGAAGGGCCCGGGCGCGTCGCCGTCGCTGCTCCCGACGCCGCGGGAGGACGAGCGGCCCGGGTGCGGCTCTGCTCTGCGGCGGGCTGGCTGCGCGCTGCAGGGAGGGGCCAGCGAGGTGGGCTCAAGGTCGGCGAAGATGGAGGCGCCAAGTGAAAATGGGCTGTCAGGGAGCGGCCGCCCCTCTCCCCCTCTGCGATTTCGCGGACGGTCCCCCTGAAGAGCTTTCCATGGAGCCCTTCAGTCCAGTGGAAGAAGAACATGTGTCTAATTTCCTGAAGTCTTATAAGTTAAATAAAAACTCCACTTGGTGCATCTCAAAATACATATAAATCTTTATTAATTAAAAAAAAATTCATTATTGCTTGGAGGACTAACACACAAATCTCACTTCTGTCTTTTAAAAAGCCCAATCGAAGCTAAGAACCTGGAAACAAACATGGAAACAGTCCCTCCCTTCAGAGAACTTAACTGGAAATCGGTTTCCCTTTCAAACAGATTAAGGTCTTTTCTTTTGCACTTTCGCTTTCGGGAGTGAACCTTGCTTGTGTTGACTTAAAGAGTTCTGATTTTGGAGGGGATGGGAACACTAACTTTATTTCTTGGATTTGTCCTTAGATAAGAGAAAAGAGAAGTCTGATAACTAGTGAATAAGTAGAAATATGAATGGAGTACCCATTAGCTGACCTGCAATGAGACAGTCTTGTAACTGTGCCTGAAGGCAAGCCTAGAATTTGAAAGTAGACAAGAACATACGAGTTAGAAACTCCAATACTGGGTTTGTTTTGCTCTGAAACAGACCATTCATTTCACTGTAGGCCACCAGGAAGCAAAAAAAACCAGAAGAGCTTTTGGATAGAGGCACTGGCAGGAGGCAGCTAAGTGGCTCAGTGGATAGAGTGCTGGGGCTGGAGTCAAAAGATCTGAGTCCAAATATGGTGTCAGACACTTATAGCTGTTTGACCCCGGACAAGTCATTTACTTTAATCCACTGGTGAAGGAAAATGGCAAACCACTCTATATCTTTTGCCAAGAAAAGACAGTACTGTCCACACGGAGACAGGACACAACAATTGGCCTACAAGAAACCCTAAAAGCTAAGCTAGGTCTGGAGAATTTGAAAGATTATTTTGGGAAGTTTATGCAGCATTCAGCCTGGGATTGGGCAGTTGTCTTTTTTACCCACTTCTCATTTACTATGGTAAAGAATTCTGAATTTGTATATTTTCTTTTTGCTTGTAAGTAAACCCTAGAAAAGGAATTCTGGGGGTTTGAGTCTATTGCAGACCGGAAAGGGAAAGGGAATGGGTGCCAGAAGGAGTAAGTATCCAACTTTTTTTTTTTAATAAAGATTAGAAATCCAGTGAGGGAGATTTCTGAACCCAGGCTGCTGTGCTCAGGGAAGAGGGAGATCAGAAAACACAGTGCCTTCAGCTAGATTTTTAAAATGAGATGTAAAAATTAGGAAAGACAAAACCCCAGGTACCAAAGATTAGGTCCAACTTGGACTTGATCTGAGAAAGAACTGATGTTATCAGCTACTTCCAATCAGTGAGCCTTAATTCTGCCTTCTGAGGCCTTGAAGGATAAACCTGATCTCTCTTCTCTGTTAAAAACAAACAACCCTGTAATTATTTGTGCAGTCCTGGTGGAGCACCAACACCCATTGAGGCAAAAAGCCTGTTTCTGTCTTTTCCTGGGCTGAGACTGGCTGGCTCACTCACCCAACCTCATACTAGCAGATCAGGTTGATTCCTTAGAGAATCAGTCACACAGCTATAAATCAATCAGTTTAATAAATCAGTAAACAAGTATTTATTAAGGAAACTAAGAAATATAGTAGATAAGAGTGCTGGATCTGAAGTCAGGAAGACTAAAGTTCAAATTTGGCCTCAGACATTTACTAGCTATGTAACCCTGGGCAAGTCACTTACCTTCTGTCTGCCTCAGTTTTCTCTTCTGCAAAATAGGAATAATAACTTCTTTTATATATTATAAATATAAACCCTTTCCAGATTTGTTGTGGAGATGTTTTTAAAACACTTTGCAAATCTCAAAGGGCTATATAAATTCTAATTATCATCATCATTATTTGCCCTAAATGTGCCAAGAACTGTGCTTAGTATTGGGGCTACAAGTACAGGTCAGGAAACAATCTCTACATGCAAGGAACTTATATTCTAATGGGGAGACAAGAACATATATAAACATATATAATATAAAGTGAAAAAATACAAATTACATATAGTTAAAACAAGGTAGATTGAGAGGGAAGGCACTGCCATTAGGGTGGGACCTTTCATGCCTTGAGGTAACCAGAAAATCATATCAATACAGCTAGGGGCTGTGGGAGCTTCCTCAAGGCACCCCACTCCTAGGCCAATCAAGTCCTGTCTTTGTTGCCTTTTAGGAGAAATCTGACCTAACTCTTAGTGGGGAGGGGCACAAGGAACCCTTGTGGATATTCCTCCTATCACAGATCAGGTTATTTTATCCTAAAGGCAATAGAAAGCTATTGTAATTGATTTAAGTAGAGGAATCACTTACTCTGATCTGAGCTTGAAGATAGTCAAATGACTTTGGCAGCAGTGTGGGGGATGGACTAAAGTGGTGAGAGACCTGAGGCAGACAAGCCCAATCGTAGGCTATCCAAATAATCTAAGCAAAAGGTGATGAGCCCTGAACTAAAGTGGAGGCAAAAGTATAAGTCTACTCACAGACCTAGATCACACTCTCCCACCAATGCTTACAATGTCGTTGGAGGCAGGGGAGGAAGAAGAGTAGCCACAAACAATAATATATGTATTTTGTCTATCACAAAGCAAAATTATTATAAGACATTAGCGAATGGTGTTTCCTACATTTCACATGTTGGTCAAGACTACTCCTGTACTAGTCTTTCTGCTCTCCTGATGGATGAAACTCTTCTGCCACTTTCAGAATAATTACTAAACCTGCAAACTGTAGAACTTCCCAGTCTGCTCCCTGGGCTAGAGGGAGTGTAATGTGTAATGCTCGTGAGATAGCATAAGACTTTCAGTGGAAAGCTGCTATTCTTTTTAAGTTTGAAATCTAAGTTATAGACTTTGATAGGATTTTTCCACTTGAGCCATACATGGCGGTAAAGTCAGTCAGTAAATATTTTTTAAGTACCACCTATGCACCAAATACCATGCTAAGTTCTAGGGATACAAAAATATGTACAAACAGGCTATGTACAGGATAAATAGGAAATAATTAAGGGAGAAAGTACTCGAATTAAGAGGGGTTGCAAAAGTCTTCTTGTAGAAGGTGGGATTTTAGTTGGGACTTGATTTGTTGTTGTTGGCAATTGGGTTAAGTGACTTGCCCAGGGTTACACGGCTAGTGTCCAGTGTTTGGTCTGAGGTTAGATTTGAACTCAGGGTCCTTCTGACTTCAGGGCCAGTGCTCTATCCACTGTGCCACCTAGCGGCCATCTAGCTGTGCTTGAGCTGGGACTTGAAAGAAGACAGTGAAGACTAAGAGAACCTCTGGAGCCTAGAGATGGAGTTCCTTGTTTGTGGAACAGCCCAATGTCATTGGATCAAAGAATATGTGTTGGAGAATGAAGTATAAGAAGACTGGAAAGGAGGGCTTAGGTTATAAAGGACTTTAAATGCCAAACCTAGTATTTTACATTTGATCTGGAAGGCCACTGGAGTTTATTGAGTGTGAGGGGTGGGAAGAATGACAGCACACAGGAAAATCACTTTAGCGGTTGAATAAAAGATGAGTTGGAGTGGGGAGAGACTTGAGACAGATAGCCCCCTCTAGCAGGCTATTGTAACAGTACAAGCATGAAGTAATCAAGTGTCATCAGAGTCATGGCAGTATTAGAGGAGTAAAGGGGGCATGTTAGAGAAATGATGCAAAGGTAAAATAAACAGACCTTAGCAACAGGTTGGATATGGAGGGGTGAAAGAGAGTGAGGAATACAGGGTGACTCCTAAGTGTGAGCCTGTGGACTGGAGGATGGTGTTGCTTTTGACAGTTTAAGAAGTTTGAAAGGGAGGAAAGTTTAGGGGAGAAGATATTAAGCTCAGTTTTGGACAGGTTTAGTTTACAGTATCTACTGTAAGGGCTCAGATGAGGTTGTTTTACATAAATTTGTAGTGGACCCACTCAGAACAGCTTCAGGATTTTCTTTCAGTCAATAAAACACTGACGTTAAGAAAGAGGTAGAACTTTGCATTTGAATACAATGATATATATGTTATAATATATACCATATTATATTCCATAAGCCTCCTATTCAATCTATGTATCACCAGCTTCTTCAACAAATATTATGACATTGTTTCAAGTACCCTCACTATTTTGAGGTTTCCTTCCTTTGGGTATACTTCCGTTAATCAATGCCCTTCCAAAAATGCAGGAGGCAGCACTAGAACAATTCTACAGATATAGTCTAACCTATTAAAAGGCTCTGTCCTGGGCCCTCTTCTCTTCTCTTTCCATACTCTCTCATTTAGAGCCCCCATGTTCACATCTATATGCAGATGATTTCTGTATCTATATACCCAACCCTAGTCAATTTCCTGAGTTCTTTCTGGCATCACCAACTGCCTACTAAAGATTTCAGACTGGGATGTTATGCAGGCATCTTAATCTCAACATATCCAAAGCAGAACTCATTATCTTTCCCCACCCAAACCCAATTCTCTTCTGCACTTTCTTTTTACCATCAAAGGCATTACTATCCTCTCAGACTCCCAGGTTCTCAACATCAGTCTCATTCTCTGTTCTTCATCCTGTCTTCACATATCCAATCAGTTGTCAGATCTCTACAGCACCTCTTGGATATGCCCTTTTCTCTCCTTCCATTCACACAGCCCTTATCCTTCTCCTCTTACCTAACCTTCTAATTGGTCTCCCTGCTTCTATTCTGTTCTCTGTCCAATCCATCTGCCACATAGCTGCCAAACTGATATTCCTAAAACACATATCTGGCC